AGAAAAAAGATATTTTTAGGGTTGAAAATATAACTGCTCTCATATAACAGTTAGCTAAAAAAAGATGGCAGGAGTTTGGTTTTTACAGCTGAAGCTGTTGATGTGGGGCTCAAATGTTGGGTAAAATCTGGTTGTGTAGGAGGGGAGAGGTCTCTGAGTGGAGAAGCTGTGTGAGCAGCTTTATCTTGATTTCATTCTCATCTTCACAAGACAGAATCTCAGAGAAGCTATGTGTGTGCTTTCTCTCCTGGTGCTGCCCTCAACAGTTCTGCCAGGTCTTTCACTCTGAGCTTCACATTTCTGTTTTCTCACTCTTTTTCCCCCCTATCTATCTCCAACATTTTGACAAGGCATTAGTAAAGAAGAATCTGGGAAACAAATTAGTTGCTATTAGTACTCCCCATTATATGATCATTGGTGTCTCTAGGAGTCTCCTGAAAAATAAAGGAACATTATCAGCACCTTATAAATGTAGAAATGGGAGCTTCCCCTTGCAAGCCTCTGTTTCTGCAGTCTCTCAGGTTTTCCTGCAGTCTAGTTTGTCTTATTCATCTTGAAACTTCCATGCTCTTGAACACTTAACAAATTCAGTGACATGACTGCTTCTCTGAATAGGGAAACTCTGGGGAACTCCTTCTTTCGCCACAGTGAATTCAAAGGGATTCATTTTGCTTGTTTTGCAGGGACACCCAAGTAAAATCTTCAAGTGATACGCAAGGGTCTTGTAGGCTGTGATATGTGCTAGTTCACTTGGCGGTGTTGAGTTGTCATGAGAATCTGTTGGAGCTGTTTTTTATCATTCCCTCTAGATATGTTGAAAAGAGATAAAAAAAACTTATTGGAAGAAAGTGATAAATAAGGGGACCACGAGGCGGTGGGGCTCTTGCAGAGCTTGCAGAGCTCAGGTTCCCTCTAGTCTCTTAGGATGCACAGCTGTGTTTCTAGCCACATAAGATGTGTGGTTTTCACTCCCATTATCTCTGGCTCTTGCTCTTTGAGCTGTTTTTGTGAAATCTGTTTGGAATTGTCCTTTATTTATTTGTTTTTGGGGACCTGTAATCAGCCTGTGAACTTCCCATTTGATATTTCAAATTGTGTCAGTCTCCTTAGTTCTGTGATTTTGGAGTTCTTTCTGGAAAGTGTAGGAAGGAGAGGAGATGACTTAAGTGCTATTTCCATATTTATGCAAGTCCTTTCCTCCTTTTAGAACTTGCTGAAGCCATTTACTTCTGTTGTAGTTTTCACTGCCTTTTTGGATTTTATGACTGAGTACCTCATTATGGTTTAGATCTAAAATGTTCCCCCAACCCTTTGTGCTCATAGGTGGGGCCTTTGGAAGGTGACTGGATGATAGGTCACTGCAGCTGACTTTCTATTAGGAGGTGGAGACTGGTTAGAGCCTTGCCATTGGGGATGTTATCTGGAAGGATGTATCTTTCTCCTGGATCCTCTCTTCCTGCTCTACTTCACATTGTAAGAAATGGAGCTTTCCTCTGCTCAGACCCTTCCATCTGGATATTTCTGCCATGAAACCAGCTGAGTATGAACTGAAAACATGAGTCAAAATAGACTTCTCTTCCTTTAAATTGTGGGTTATTGAATTTTGCATCTCAGAGGTAAGGAAGGTGACTAAGGTCTCCTGATGGTGGACTTTGCCTGTCTAACTTCTTGTTCTCTACCTTAAGTCTTAGCTTTGTCTTGACCTCTGGAGACAGCCCAGCCTTTGATTGGAGGAATTCTAGGAACAATTGTTCAGCTCAATTTCCTCAAAATAAGGTCTTACTGCTGCTTGAGATCTGACTCTTGCTCTGTTCATTACTTTGTTAATACATTCGCTTGTTTTACGAATATGTATTGACCACCTCACTAGTCTATTGTCATAGTATCTGGAAATGTAGGAGAAAACCATATAAAATATACACCCTCTATATATATATATATATATATATATATATATATATATATATATAATTTTGTGAGTAAATTAACATTCTATACAGTATATTTGATGGTAATACATTCTCTGAAGGAAAACAAAAATGTAAGGAGGTGAAATGTGTCAGGAAGGGAGGAGGTACAAGTTTGTAAGATGTGAAGTCCACTGATCAAGTCATATTTCAGCAGTTGGCACATGGAGCCCTTGGAAAGGAACATCCCAGGAAGAATGAGCAGAAGGGTATCAATGCCTGGTTAGAGTCCATTTAAAATGTTTGAGGATTGGCAAGGAGGCCAGTGTGACTAATATAGAATAAAAAGGGGGAAAGTAATTGTAGATGTCAGAGTGAGGAATGGAGGCTGTAGAATCTTGAGGTCAATTTTAAGGACTAGCTTTTACTGAGTAACTTGAGGATGTATTGGAAAGTTTTGATCAGAGATGGGAGATGATTTATATTTTTAGGGTATTGCTTTGTCTGTTAGAAGATAAATGGAAGGGAGGAAAGAAAGGAAGCAGTTTAGATGGTCTTTCAAAGAGTAAGTTGATGGCATCTTGGACATGGGTGATGGTAATGAAGGTAGGAATAAATGGCTGGATTCTGGATATACCTAGAATATTGAGACAACAGTATTTGCCAATGCTTTGAATGTAGTAGATAAGATTTTGTGTTTTGTTGTTATTTCCTGTGCCTGGGACACAGAAAGTGATCAGTAAATATCCGTGGCTGCAAGATACAGATACAGGTCATGTGAGCCTGTGAATTGCTTTCATTTTACAGTGAAATGGGAAGCAATATTCTAGATGAAAGCATGTACAAAATGGGTGGAGGTTTGGGGAGACCAAGGAATGGGATGATGAATGGGCTAGAGATGAATGACAGGGTTACCATGCAATGTTAAAAGCCCATCTTGAATTGATACAATGGACTTAAAGTGAGCCAACTAGATTTGGAATTTTCTCCAGAATGCTCAACAGAGTTCATACAGGTGCAGAATTAGGCAGACATATGATTTTAATGGAAGACTGGTGATTGTCAAATATATACAAGAAGGGTGGAGGGAGCAAATGAGAAAACATGCACAAAATCACTCAAAGTTGCATTATGAAATCTGAAATGGATTGAGAGGCGAGTAAAGATTTGAGTGGTGAGTAGTGATCAGTGAAATTTTTTCCCTTACCATTCCTCAGATGAAGTTTCTCAGCTTTTCTCATCATATATCTCATCATCATTCTTCCTTCTTGGTCTTAGAGCATATCCAGGTAGGCCAGTTACCTAAAGATCAAATATAGTTTCTTTTCTTTCTTTCACATTCTATATTATATTACCAAGTCTAATTTACACTTTTCATATCTATGTACTTCTCTTCATCTTTTTATTAGTATCTTAGGCTGATTTTTCACTTTTCTAAGTGCTCTTGGCTCTGCTTTTATTCTTTGCAAATAAATTCTATATGATACAACAAAAGTAAACTTTAGAAGATAATTTGGATCAAAATATTTCCATATTTTTATTGTGTCCAGTATAATATACAAATGTCTTAAAAGCCCATTTGTGATATGGCTGCTGGTCACCTCTACAACCTTACTCTGCTTTTAATTCCCTCCCTCATTTATAACTGTAATTTAGTCACCCTGCCTTCTGTTTCTTTGATCGCTTCCTAATCTCATCTCCAGACTACTTCCTTTCCCTTCTCAGACCTGTAACCTGGCTGACACCTATTCATCCTTCAGCTCTCAGCTTAAACTTCTATGAGTCTTCTTTGCTTGGAAAATGGTTTCCTCTGTACATCACTTTCATTTACTTTTCCATTTTATACTTTTATATACTTTAATATCTATCTCTTTTCCCTGACTTTAATTTCTCTCTTGTTAACCTTGTAGAATCCTACCTAGCACAGGATCAGGATCATACTAAGTACTCAAAAATATTTATATAATTAAAAAATGGTGATGTCTTACTTACTTTTTACTTGCCACTGAGATAAAATACCTGATGCCCAAAGTTGGGAAAGGAAAGGTTTATTTCTTACACTTTTTGGAGGTTTCAGTCCATACTCAGTTGGCTCCAAGGCAAGGTGGCATGGTAGGGCTGCAGTTCATGGTGGCTGCAAACAGCAAGGCAGAAACCAGCAAGAGAGAGAGACACCTTCTTCCTGCCATTACATTGTATGCTGGCTCCACCCCCACCCCCCATTTGGGTATATTACTGGCACCATCAATCCAGGTGTTAGACAATGAACCAATCACAAATGCATAATGCAAATGCATGAGACCTGGGGGCCACTCACATAAATCATGACTGGTGAGATCCATGTCAAGATGGCATCTTAAAAATATAATTTCCCATTCTCTCCCCACATCTCACTACAGTGAAAATAAACAATAAAAAAATAGAAACTCATAAGGACAAAGAACAGAAAAAGTGACAGAAATGGACAATATGTATCAAATTTTTGGAACATGACAAACAGATGGAGGATATGTAATTGATTTAATAAAATATAACATGCAGAAAATTCTGTTTTGTCAGGATGAACTGACAACAAATTATCTATTCATCTCTAAGAATCAAACAAATTTTCTAATGTTTAAGAAGCCAGATTCATACTCTTCTGGATAGAGAGTTAGAGAAATCTTGGAGGTACAGGCCTAGAAGGAAAGATATAAACATATGGTCATTTGAAGGGGACCCAAAACAAAAGCTTATTATAAAATGAAAGCTAGCTCAAACAAACAGAAATTTTATTTTTTGTTTTTCAATATGAATGGACAAAGATCAATGAATGATGTGAAATACTGAGAATATAAAAGACACTGTACTAAGACTGTAGAAAATAAAGGAATATAGAGGAAATAGATAATTTGGAGACTAGAAGAAGTAATAGAAGAAATATGTATAAAATGAAAAAATGGCACTTCAAAAAATAAGAATAAAGAAATTTAGAAAATGGACTAATGGCAGGCAATATTAAAACTTAGTAAAAGTGACACTGTTGAGGTTGAAGCCAAGAATTGTTCCTAGAAAGTGGAGGAAAAGATTAACTTCATAAGAAAAATTCTTCAGTGCTCACTTCAGCAGCATATAACCAAAATTGGAAGGATACAGAGAAGATTATCATGGCTTTTGTGCAAGGATGACATGCAAATTTGTGAGGTGGTCTATATTTTTAAAAACCTCTACAAAGAAAATTATATAGTACTCTGAAAAAGGACACTGAAGAAAAAGTCAGAAATGGAAAGATGGTCCCTGCTCCTGCATAGGCAGAATGGCCAAAATTATTATACAGATTCAGTGTAGACCGAATCAAAAAACCAACAGCATACTTGACAGATCTAGGAAAATAGATCCTAAAATTCAAATGGAACCAGAAGAGACCCAGAATAGCAAAAGCAGTCTTAGGCAACAAGAGCAAAGCAGGAGGCCTTTTACAATACCTAACTTCAATCTACACTACAAAGCAACTGTGTTATAAACAGTGTGATTCTAGAACAAAGACACATCCATAAATCAGTGGAACCAAATAGAAAACACAGAAACATTCCCCACATATTCAGCTGTTTGATCTTCGACAAAGGTGCAAAAGCATATGTTGAAGGAAAGATAGCCTGATGTTGAACAAGTGATCTGGGAAAATGGGAAACTGCAGAAGATTGAAATGACTCATTTTTTAATACGTACTAAATTAAAATCAAAATGTATTAAACATCTGAACATTAAAACAGATACATTAAGTTTACTGGATGATAAAAAAATAGGTACAATACTTGAAACCACAGTTATAGGGAAGGATTTTCTAAACAAAACTGCGTTTACTCGAAAAATAACAACAGGAACCAACAAATGGAATTATTTCAGACTAAAGACTTCTTTACAGCCAAAGAATGAATAAATAGAGTGAAGAGACAATCAACACAAAGGGAAAATTTTTACCAGCTATTCCTCAGACAAAGGACTAATATCTAGAACATATAAAGAACTAAAAAAGGTTATACCACTTAAAGATCCAGTCAGAAAATGCACAGGTGAAATGAAGACACTCCTCAAAAGAAGATGTAAAAATGGCCAATGAATAAATGAAAAATTCTCAACATCTCTGGCTATTAGACACAAATTAAAACAATGCTAAAATTCCATGTCTTCCATCTTACTCTAGAAAAAAATGGGAATTATCAAGAAATTTTTAAAAAGTCCTGGCATGGCTGTGGTGAAAAAGGAACCTTTGTACATTGTTGTTGCAAACTAGTACAACCATTATGCAAATCAATTTGGAGATTTCTCAAAGAATTAAGGATAGAAATCCCATATTATCCAGCTATCCTCCTTCTAGGTATCTTTTGCAAAGAGTTTAAGACACCAATCAGAGATATATGGATACCAACATTTATAGCAGCACAATTCATAATAGTTAAATCCTGGAAGCAACCTGTATACCCAAACAGATGACTGGATAAAGAAAATGTAGTATCAATACACAATGGAATGCTTCTCAGCTATGAGGAAGGACAGATTTGAAGCATTTAGAAGAAATTAGATATGCCTGCAAAATATAATGTTGAATGGAATAAATCAGACCTACACGCTTTAGTATTATGTGCTCTCTCACTTGAGTAAGGCAAAGTACTACGAGAAAAATAGAGGAAGGATAAAAGGAGACAAAGGGGATAGATCTCTTGCAAATGGGAAGGGTACAGGGGACCAGGCGTAAGGGTCCTTAGTGAGGATGGGAAAATAGATAGAGTGAAGGTATGCCATGCACAGGATCCTAATAACCTCAATGGATGTGTGTATTATATGTTATAAACATGAACTAAGATTAACAATATGAACAAATGTGAAAATGGGGAAATGAAAATTAGAGGGGTAGGAGGTAGGGTGAAAGAATGGGATTTAAAAAAAGAAACAAGCTGCATTATGTGCATGCTCCAACTCCCAAAGATGATTAAAAAGGCATGCACTACAAACGTATTAATAAATAAAAATTAGTATTTATCTGATCCATATATTATTTTAAAATTTTGTGTATTTCAGAGTTTTTATTTACATTTCCTACCAAGCATCCTGTGGTTATAGAGCTTCAGAAGGAAGTGTAACTGGAGGTGAGCTTGTATATATTACAACTTAGGAGAATAACTCCTTTCCTGTTTTTGGGGAGGTGGTTTCATCTGCTTCCAGGAATCCCAGAAAATACAAAAATTTTTAACTTCTCAAACACGACCAAAGCTTATGTCATTTCCTTAAAAAAAAAAAACAAATTAGAGAAATGGTGCAGAGTTTGGGTAATGTCTCAATACAATATGATTTTCAGGTAGATGAGAGAATTTTTTTCAAATACAAGAATAACCTTTCAAGAGAGAAGAAACATAAATCTCCATATTGTAAAAGTCCACTAAATCCCCCAAATCATTGCCAGAATTAGTGCACATTCTCATGACAGGAATGAAGAGGAAATCCCAAAACTATCCAGAGGGCAAAGCATAAATCATAAAGAATGAGAAACTAACATGATATTCTTTAATAGCAACATTGAAATGAATACAGAAGATAATAGAGCCTCATAATTTGGAAAGAAAGAATGATTTCTGACATACAATTTTATTCCCACAAACACTCATAAACTAGTATGGGGTACAACAAAAATGAAAGTCATCCCATATGCAAAATTTCAAGAGATCTATATCTCATACTTCTTAGAAGTTTGTAGGAGATGTGGTGTACATGAAACAGGAAATGCTATATAAGAAAGTGATAAGGCAATTTCCAGGGTGACAGGAAAGAAAAACTCAAGAATATCTGCTCTTGGAAAGACTGGAGAGAGTAGTAGGCCAATCTGGAGCAAGACACAAAGTCAAAGAAAAGATAAATTAATGGATTTATCTCATAAATTTGAAGGTACAAAATAATACTGAGGAGTTCTATAGCATGTCAGACTTTCTGGCCATAGGTGCCTAGAAAACTAAGTAGATCCCAGGGAAAGCAAAATGTTCTATGATAGAAGAAGAAATATAACCATGCTTCATACTTGTCACACTAGTGAGCAGGCTTCAGTAGACACAATATTGTATATTTTAAATGAAAGTGCATTATATCGGTGGAGTATGGAAAGGGTTAGTATGGAATGAGAAATAGTGATGGAAAAGAGCTAATGTCTCCTCTACCATAATGGGAAGTCAATGTACAGAGGTAAAAATTGAAATTGGGAAACAGTAATGTAAGCACAATATTTAAAAGTTTGTAGAAAAGTAGCTCATTGTGTTGAAAGTGATTGTTTCTGGGAAAGAGAATCATGGTGAGGAAGAGTGGTATAATTCATGGGGTGGGTATTCTTTGTGATGTACCTTTTAGTGTTATTATCTTTAGTGCATGCTTGTGACTGATGTGTAAACATCAAATTCAGGAAAATTAGGAGCAAACTAATGAATGGAGACCCAGAACAAGGTCTCATGGCATCTCTGTCTATCTGGGAATGTGTAAGGTGTGGAAGAGAAGGAGAATCTACTTTACAGAGGGTAGCTGCTTAGTATACCAGGTCAGTACCTCTGGCTGTAGAAGTTTGCTCACTTTAAGGAAATTTTATCTTTAGCCTATTGACCCTGATAGGTTAGCAGTGGACTAATACACATCCCCACACTCACTAGAGGTCTATGGAAAATTTTTCTACACAAAAAGTGCTATAGCATATGTATATTTTTATTTTGTATAATCCATATATTTGGTTTGGAGTTGAACACATGTCAAAATCTGCTTTAAAATATGTTAGCATTTTACCATGTTCTGATCTTGATGGGGAAAATCAAAACTGCTGGTAGGGAGGCCAAAGGGAGTTAGTTAATAATCTTGTCCGTACTCTGATTTACTTCCACACTTGGGTCTCAATTCCTTGAACATTTACATTGACTTCAAAAAGATGGACCTTTAGGTCAGGGATCCGTAAGATGGCCAGATGACCAGACCCTTTGGAGGTAGTGGTTCATCTCTGCACTGAGAGAAGTAAACTGCTGTAATGACATAGAATATGTATGGAAACCAAGGCTCTATTATACTCATAACCTGAGTTAGCACTCTTATTTCTCTTTTCCCCTTTTAAATTGACATGCCTATTTTTATGGATTTTAACCCCTCAATAAAGAGTGTAAAGATTGCATCTCTTGCAGACTGAGGACCTGAAGTATCAGGATGTTTTGGACAGTATTTGCATAGTTGACAGAGAGCAGAGGAGTCTGGTTAGATATACCATATAATCTGATGATTCAAATTTCACCATAAATTGCAGATCAAAGGCAAGGTGGTGATCTTCCATGTGTGAGAATGTAGAATGTGTATGCTCTCATACACACATGCGTTTCAAAATAAATATGTACACACATGGCAAAGATAAAGCTGAGGTTAAGAAGAAAGGACATAAAACTACTGGAGTAAACCAAAGGCAGGAAGTTTAGGAATGTAGAACAGGAAGGAAAGTAGGTGTTGGAGGATTCAAGTTAAAAGTTGAAGGTGAAGGTTTTTTTGAAGCTGGTGTTTCTTCAACTGCAGTACTCTCATAAAAGAATGGCTGCTTAGATGGAAGGAAATGACATATTCAAGTTCCATAGTCAACTAGCAGCAGAGTTAAAAAGCAGTCCATGGCATGCATAATCTTTGGTCCAAAATAATTCCCAATGAATTCTGTCTCTTGCGTGGTCAAGTAGCAAGAAGATTTAGACAGATACATGAGTTCAGGCTTTCATGTGACTCCAGCCTAGACAGAGTTGGTATCGGAAAATACAACAATGCTTCTAGCAGAACTGACTGGTCATCCACTGGAATTTACCTTCGGAGGCTAAGTGGTTTAGAGATATCTGAACATAAAAAGAAGTTCATCTTGAATATATTAGTCTTATATGCGAATCCATGCCAAATGAGAGCTTGAGACAAAATGGGTTTATAGTAATTTTTCTTATCACTGTTTATACCCCAGGAATAATCACAATGTAGTTTAAATAAGACAAAACTTGCAAGGACTGAATATAAGAGTGTTAAGATGATCTGATTGCTAAGCATGAATACAGGGATTAGGAGAGAGCCTGGGACTTGGGGTACAGTGGAAGAATCCAAACACAAAACCCTGAGCGAAAAGACCAGTCTTTATTGTATCCCAGAATCCCAGCAGGAACTAGGTGACAGACTCAAAA